TTTATAGGTCTTGAGATGAAAGTGCGTGACAGACGCACACACAGACACACGGACACACAGACAATCCCTCATCAATATGCGTTTTTGCATTGCATAGCTGCAAGAAACGCATAAAAACTGCATTTTATTCTGCAACAATTAACATTTGTTGCGCTAAATTTCCGAAATATAATAGGAAGTAATGAAATAAATTATTTTACAGCATTTTTGTTAGACTGTAGTAAAGATAATGATAAGGAAGTGGTAATAAAATAATGGTGATAAAAAAAGGCAACAGAAACAAGGCGGTGAACACTAACCGAGAATATGTAGCTCAAGATCGAATGGCCCGACATAGCTGCTCTTCGTGCATGGAAGCGCCCCAATAATACTGCTAATATCCACACTGGTTGTCCAGGCTTTGGAATTCTATGTCTTGGTATAATATTGATGAATAATATAAAAAAACAAATAAACAGTGGTAGATTAATCACAGGTGTGAGATGACAAAATGTATTGTTTTATGGGAGCACAATATAAGTTTCTTGTGTTCATATATAAGCGTAACTTTGTCGGGGGATGGGTTCATTTATAACTTTGTCGGGGGAGGGGTTCATTTATAAAATGATTTCTAGTAAAACTAGGCAGGAAATTGACAAATAGAGTAGTAAGATGCAAGCATACAAGTAAGGGAAGCGAATATTTTTACTTTAGTCAAGTGCTTTTCAGAAAGAGTTAATGCGGGATATTTGCGATCCAAATGAACTCATTGGTGCGCTGGATGTGCTGCAAGATTACTACAAGCATGACCTACTCGATCAGATGCGCTCCCTTACAGAAAGTGCAACTGAACATCTGTATCCGTTCATGTGCCGACAGTATCTTCCCGTAGAGTATCACTTGAAAGTGAGCAGCTTTTTAACAAAATTTATCGAATGTTTGTCAATTTGTTTGTGCGATACGCTTGTTTTGATTATTCTTGATCAAATTTTTCTGGGAATAGTGACCGATAACATTAAAATTGAAGAAATTTTTGCGTAATCATAAGAAATTCAAGTACTGAGTTTGAGCTCAAAATCATTGTTGTGAGTAACGGCACGTGCAAAACTGATTTTTTAGGGTAACAAAGGATTTTACTTGTCGCTCGTTGTAGCTGAGTTGTTTCAGTAAGGCTTAATAGAGTGAAAAGTGCAAACCATGGAATGCGCACAGTTGATAGTTGACGTTCATGACGCAAGATTGATAAAGCAACATTTTTGTAAACCGCAACGGATTTGTCCTTCAAGGGATTTGCTGCAGCAAATTTTTTCGTAAATGGCAGCAATTTCAAAAAATATGGCTGAGAAGGCAATATGAGCAGCTGGTGAAAAAACAAACAGAAAAATGCTTTTTTTTTAAATTGTTGACTGAGCGCAGTGCTATCCTTCAATAGAAAATGTGGCAAAAATATTTAGTTGAAATCTGTTGTTTGAAACAATTCCTTGCTACATAACTGCAGAGCTGAAACATGCGATTAGAAAAACAGATAAGTTCACAAATATTCAGAAGCTATTTTCCCTTTTTGCGTTTTTGCATTACGCAGCTTTCAAAAATGTATAAGAAATTTAAAAAAAAATGCATTATACAGGTTCAGTACCAGCACACTGCTAAAATCACCCACCAAACGGCTAAGCTTTTGAGGATTTCCTCTTACAAAAATTACTTAGGAGCAATATGACTGCGGTTTTAAGCGAAATGGTGTCGAAAAAAAAAACACTTTATGCGTACCTTCATTTGCTGGATTTAGGTTAACAACGAAACTAGCAATGAAATAAAGCAAGCAATTTTGTCAATCAAATATGCGGTGAATGGCGTCGTTGAAATGCTCAATGAATCCTGAATGTGGTTTTTACTGAGCGGTTTTTGCCAAAGAAAGGAGCTTAATGAACATTCCCACCACCACTGACGATATTGTTGTGCACGTTTCCCAAAACTCGCTTAACAGTCTTTTTGATGGC